ATTGATAAAACTAAATATCTTGTGTCCGGCCGTCACATCGATTATTCGATCGATGTAAGGAAAAGGGAAAGAGTCCTTCGGACACACCTTGTTTAGATCCTTATAATCTACGCACATCCTAAGTTTATTTTATTTTTTAGGTACGACTACTATGTTAGCTATCCGTTCGGGGTATTTGACTTCTCGGATGGAACCCATTTTCAGAAGTTTAGATACACCGTCCTTGATGAATGCGTGTTTGATCTCGCACTGTGGCCTTCTCTTCTGCTTAACCGGATGGAACTTTGGATCCAAGCTCAATTTGTAAGTTGTTACCTCCGATGGGATCCCTGTCATGTCTAGATGGGACCAGGCAAAACAATCGGCATTAGCTTTAAGAAAATCAATAAGTTTTTCCCTGAGCTCGGGGGTTAATCCCGTGCCTAGGTATACCTTTCGATCCATTAGGTGTTCGATCAATATAACCTGCTCCAACTCCTCGATCGTCGATTTGGTGGCGTTGGTGTCATCGGGCGTTATAAAAGATCTTGGGACGCCATAATCATCCTCATCGTCTGCTTTGTGCTCCTTCTATTTTTCCGTCTTGGTTGAGGCCGATATCATTGATTGCTATTTAGTTTCTTTTTCTTTGGCCGGTTCCCTATTTTTTGATGTCGAAACCGCCGGCATCAGGATTACTTCATCGACAGTGAACATTTCCTTTGCGGTCGGCTGTTTCCCGTAGAATATTTTGACTCCTCCCGAAGTGGGAAATTTCAGCGCCTGATGTAAAGTCGAAGGCACCACCTTCATGTTGTTAACTCATGGCCTTCCGAACAAGGTATTGTACCTCATATCCCCCTCGATCACGTAGAACTTTGTTTCTTGGGTGGTTCAGATAGTGTTTACTCGTAAAGTTATCTCACCCTTTGTGGTCTCGTATGCCATGTTGAATCCGTTCAATACTCGGACCATTGGTACATTTTGGTCATGTAACCCCAATTGTTCTACGACCCTCGATCGGATGATGTTGGCCGAGCTACCTGGATCAATCAACACACATGTAACCCGAGATTTATTGATAAGTACAGATATTACCAGTGCATCATTGTGAGGCTGGACGATGCCCTCGGCGTCTTCGTCGCTGAATGAGATGGCTCCTTCCAGGACGTAATCTCGAGTGCATTTTTCCCTCGTGATAGAAACTTTGGTGCATTTTATCATTGGCCCTTGGGGGACATTAACTCCCCCAATGATCATGTTGATAACGTATTGGGGCTCCTCTTGTTCGACCTGTTTGTTGGCGTCCCTGTTTCTGAAGTGTTTTTGGCTCGCTCGCTTAGGAACTCTCGAAGGCGCCTATTTTTGAACGATCGAGCTACTTCTTCTCTTAGTTGTCGACAATCTTCGATCATATGACCGTGAGCACTGTGGTATTTGCATATCAAGCTATGATCTCTCTAGGTGGGATCAGACTGCAGTGGTCTTGGCCACTTAGTCTCTTTGATGCGTCCTATGGCAGACATTATACTTGCAGCATCTACGTTGAAATTATAGTTCGATAATCTTGGTGCTTCTCTACTCCCGAGCGACCTGTCAAACCCGCTCTTGCTCATCAGGACCTGGCTTCTCGGTCCTCGATCATTTCTCTTGTCGTTACTTGTCGGGTGGCACTCAGATCCGTTTCCCCTCTGATCTGTACCGTACGGCTAATATCGATCTCGGACCGGCCTTGGCTCCTGATCGATGATTCTCTTGGACCTCTCATCGGTTATGTTGGGGTAAATAGACCCCGAAGGGGCCTTGAGTTGGTTGTCCTCGACCCTGATCTTCGGGGATTGAGCCCTTGAGTAAATGCATGAACGACCCAATCATCCACGACCTGGGAAAAATCCATTTGTTCCATCTGGAACCTTGACACAAACTCCCTAAGCATCTCGTTATCCCTCTACTTGACCTTGAAAGGTCTGACTTGCTCGTCTCGACCTTGATGGCGCCAACATGGGCCTTTATGAAAGCATCTGCAAGTATAGCAAACGAGTTAATAGAATTTGGAGGCAAGTTGTGGTACCATATCATTGCTCCCTTGGACAAGGTTTCCCCAAATATTTTTAGCAACACCGACTCAATTTTGTCGTCTTCATGGTCATTCCCTTTGATTGCGTATGTATAGAAGGTTACATGCTCATTCGGATCTGTGGTCCCATTATACTTGAGAATGTCGGGCATTCAAAACCTCTTCAGGATCGGCTTTGGTGTCGCGATCGGGGTGAAAGGCTTATGAATGAACTTTTTGGAGTCCGACCCCTTCAATATCGGTGGTTTTTCCGGGATCTGATCGACCCTGGAGTTATAAGTTTCTACTTTTTTCTCGCCAGACTCCACCCGTTTTGTCAACTTTTCAAGCATCTTCATCACCTTGGAAGTTTTCCCGGGCCCGAATCCATACGGTTCCATGGCAACTTGTTCATCCCTTCGAGTATTTTCCCTGGACCGCTCGGGCTCGACCCTGTTAGGTGCGTGGCTCTAGTTCTGTAACTGCATTATTGTCGTTTGCTGAGCTTGCAACATCTCAAAAATAAACCTCAGGCTCACCCCATCACCTTCACCTTCGGGCGCCTCTCTAGCCGCTGGTCGGGGTCCCCCGCGAATTCTATTTTCGGGGTCAGTCGATAGAATGATGTTGATGGCAACCTATGAGTTTGCATCGACCGGATTGGCTGCTGGGACACCATTGGGATCAACAGGGGACACATCATTGCTAGGCATCACGTTATTGTTCTCGCCATGATGGCCTAACTCAGCGTCAACGTTCATGTGAGCAGACTGAGAATTTGACATCCTTATGCTAACCTGGAATCAAAACTTCAAAGAATAAGCGTAAAACAGGGTGTGTTATGGAGATTAGTATCAAATGACCACTATTAATTTTTGCCCCGCGGTGGGCGCTAAATTGTTTACCCTAAAAAATGAGTAACAATTAAATTTATACGTGGTTTAAAGGATATGTGATTTAATTCAATATTAATGATTTAGGAACATCAAGTAATTAAATTAAATAAATAATGAACGATCAAACCTGATCTTAAGCTGAACACTGAAATTCGGCCTTCGATCGGACCTTCGATATAAGCTCGGTTGCGATTAAAGAAGAGAATAACTAAAGAACACTTTTAATAATAACTAGAAAACAAAAATAAACTTTTATTGCTTTGATTTGCGTGTCAACAACAACGTGTCAAAATAAAAGAAACTCTCTCCTTTATATAGTAAGGAAATTTCAGTCCTAATATAAGTCTAAATAAGATAAAAATCTTCTTTTTTCGGTAAATGCCGTTCTGCAGTTGATATCGGACGGGATTCACGCCGTAATATTCGGTTGAGGGCGAATATTACGGTTCCCTACTTGACATGCCTAACCGTTTCCCCTTTTCCCGTGGTTTCGAAACTTTACTTGGTACAGGTCCGCTATTTTGTCGTGTCCGGTCCCAGATATATAGTTTACTCCTCCCGAGTCCGATACGAGGGGTCCTTCGGCCTTGCTTGTAGTTGCGTCAAACCGTGCTTCCCTCTTGTTGCTTTACAGGGGAACTAGGAAAAATTTTACTTTTGATTTTACCCGTACAAAACGTGCTCCACTTCATAATGATTTATTAGTTTTCGGCCGTTTAATCCTTTTGATATCCCAATAGGTCAATGATTAAGTTCAGAAGTTGTGCAAAAAATAATAATAACAATAATAACAAGAAGAAGAAGTAGTAGTAGTTCAGATGCACCTTTACTATGTGCAGAGTCTGAGTGTAACATTCCATAAAATTAGGGGTTGTTTGGTTACAATGATGGGATAAACAAGAATATATCATGGCATAAAATATTCCATAAAATTAGTTATCCCACATTTTATATGAAATAGCTAATCTCACTATTTTAGTATAGAATTCCTATAATCACACATAGGATAAATACAATTACAAATTCTATTCCAGAATTATTATCTTTATGTCATGTACAGAACGATCCCTTATTAAAGATTAATATTGTTTCAACGCAAGGAAAAGGAAGAAGAAGAACTAGCGGGTTTTTTTTTTTTTTTTTTTTTTTTTATACATTGAACTGTTAGCAAGCGAGCATTAAACCCAGAAACAACAGGGGCCACACGAGGTCACCGTTTCTTTCCACCCGTAATGAGTATGACATATATAGGTAAATGTTCATTTGTCTAGTATGAATTTAGGGTTATTTGGAGGGTTGTATAACAATAGTATTGAATATAATATATTAGTAATGTCGAAACTAGTTATGATGAATTATTTTTTATGAAACTATTTGATTTGATGTATTAAAGGTTTTGAAAGTATAATTTTGACTTTATACATGCTGCTTATCCATGTATTAAAAATAATTGATAATGTCATGCAATGGCGGACTCAGAATTTTGTGCAAGCGGATTCAATTTTAGAAGTACATAACTTTAGTCGTAAAATAGTAGTTGTCAAGTGGGTTCAAATAAAATATTTATACAAAAAATTACACAGCTTTAATTCTAATTTATACATATACACAGTATTATTTTTTGGCGAAGCGGGTTCAGTTGAACCCGCTAGCCACCACGTGGGTCCGCCACTGATGTCATGATTTGTTATGCATAAGAATAATACTGAATAAGATGTATAACTAAGAAATTAATAAAACTAAAGCTAATACATATATTATTTTCTCTAATACATCCTATCAAACGATCCCTTAATAGGAGTATTATTTTTTTTTTTTGAATAAATTTATCACTAAACCATGACTATATGCATTTATCTCAGTTTATCATACAAGTATAATAAATTCTCGTGATTGTTGTTAAATTTCTTGACACTATCTTGGCTCTAGTAACAACTTGGTCAAGTCTGGGTAAAGCTCAAAAACAGTAGGTAAAAGGGATCTTTCTTATCCTTCAGATAGTACATATTGGCGTCTTATGAAACAAAAAAACAAAAGAAATATATACTAAACTTTAGTGTACTTCAAAATAATCACACAAATTATTAAATACTACTAGTACCAATTATCAAATTGTCCAAATATGGGATTACCTGTATCATAATCCGACAAGTCGACAACCTCTCCTCCCCATCTCATTTCTTAAAACCCAATTTCCAAACCCCAAAAATTTCTCAGCTTATCATATTTGGTGACTGTTTTAAGTTGAAATTCTCCCACTGGAAAAACCCCAATCAGTACTCATTTCGAAGTATTTCAATGGCTACAGCTACACAACTTACTTGTTCTACCATTATTAACGACCTACCTGATGTGATCCTTTCTAACATCATCGCCGCAATCTCCGACGTCCGCAGCCGCAACTCCGCCGCCCTCGTCTGCCGGAAATGCCTCGTCCTCGAACGTTCCACGCGCGTCTCCCTCACGCTCCGTGGCAACGTCCGTGACCTCTTCATGTTACCCACTTGCTTCAGATCCGTAACTCACCTTGACCTCTCCCTTATCTCTCCTTGGGGTCACCCACTCCTCTCTCCGGTCGACGGCGCCGGCGCAGAAGCTGACCCTTCCCTCATCGCCCACCTTCTCCGCCACGCGTTTCCTTCCGTCACTTCCCTCGTTGTCTACACGCGCCACCCATTCACCCTCCAGCTTTTGCCTCCTCTATGGCCCCACCTAAAGGAAATCAAGCTTGTGCGGTGGCACCAGCGTCCCCAATTAGCTACTGGTGATGAATTTAATATGCTATTTGAGAATTGCCCACAGCTTAAATCTCTAGATTTGTCGACTTTTTACTGCTGGACGGATGATATTCCTACAGCACTTGAATCTCATCCTATGGTTGCTTCTAATCTCACTAGCTTTAATCTCTTGAATTCCAGTTTTCCTGAAGGGTTTAAGTCTGATGAGATTAAGGTAATTACACAAGCTTGTCCTAATTTGAAAGAGTTTAAGGTTGCTTGTATGTTTGATCCTAGGTACATTGGTTTTGTTGGTGATGAAGGTTTGGTTTCTATAGCTACAAACTGTACCAAATTATCAGTGCTTCATTTGGCGGACACATCAGCTTTGTCCAACTCTAGGGGTGATCCAAATGATGAGGGGTTCACCGAAGAGGATGCGAAGATTAGTGTTGGAACTTTGATTGAGGTATTTTCTGGTCTTCCATTACTTGAAGAGCTTGTTTTAGATGTTTGTAATAATGTTAGAGACACGGGTCCTGCCTTGGAGATTTTGAATAGAAAATGTCCCAAATTGAGATCGTTGAAGTTGGGGCAATTCCACGGTATTTCTGTGCCAATTGAATCGAAGTTGGATGGGGTTGCTCTTTGTCAAGGGCTTCAATCTCTGTCGATAAGTAATGTGGGGGACTTGAATGATATGGGTTTGATAGCTATTGGTAGAGGGTGTTCGAGGTTAGCCAAGTTTGAGATTCGAGGTTGTAAGAAGATAACTATGAGGGGAATGAGGACACTAGCTTCTTTGCTTAGCAGAACTTTGGTTGATGTCAAGATATCTTGCTGCAAGAATCTTGGAGCCTCTTCTTCATTGAAAGCATTGGAACCGATACAAAGACGGATACAAAAGCTTCACATTGACTGTGTGTGGGACAGCGTTGAAGAATTTGAGAATCTTGATGGTAATGGATACGGGTTTGATCTTAACAGGAATGATGGAGGGGAGGCATCAAGCAACTTTGCTTGTTCCGGGGACACATTTGGATGCGAGGAAGATGCTTACATGTTTAGACAGAAGAAAAGATGCAAGTTCTCCTATGATATTAATAGTTTGTATGAGGATGTCAATGGCCATGGCAATGGATATAGTGGACGATCATGGGATAAGCTGCAATGCCTCTCTCTTTGGATTGGTGTTGGTGAGCTTTTGACTCCTTTAACAACTGCAGGTCTTGAAGACTGTCCTAACTTAGAGGAGATCAAGATTAGGGTGGAAGGAGATTGCAGGCTTTGGTCAAAACCTTCGGAGCGGGCATTTGGACTGAGCACCCTACTACTCTATCCTAAGCTTTCCAAGATGCATTTGGATTGTGGAGATACCATAGGTTATGCACACACTGCGCCATCAGGGCAGATGGATTTGAGCTTGTGGGAGAGGTTTTATCTGTTTGGGATTGGAAATTTGAGCCTTGCCGAACTAGATTACTGGCCACCTCAAGATAGGGACGTTAACCAAAGGTGTCTATCCCTACCAGCAGCTGGGCTGCTACAAGAATGCATCACACTCAGAAAACTGTTCATCCATGGAACAGCGCATGAACATTTCATGATGTTCCTTCTTAGAATCCCAAACATAAGAGATGTACAACTGAGAGAGGATTACTATCCAGCACCAGAGAATGACATGAGTACAGAGATGAGAGCAGACTCCTTGAGCCGCTTTGAAGCTGCCCTAAACAGGCGCCCAATATCCGATTGATGCAAGGAACACAATGCGCACATAATGTTCCCATATCCAGTGCTTCAATAGTTTTCTTTCGTCAGAATATGTATTAAATTTTCAGATCTCTTTATATGCATTAAGGTTTGTGCATTGGTTATTGATGCATTCCGACGCAAATTGGGATGAAGAGGATGATATGGGTCCAAGTTTTGCTTGTAGAGTGTGGAAACAGTTAAACGAACTCTGCTTTTGATTTTGCAAAAAGGCTGAACGTCTCAACTATATTTCTATAAACACGATATTTTTCTTAAACTGGAAAATCACACAGAAGTTACAATTTGAGCCGGACATTGTTAACACCTCTACCATGTGTTTCTGTACAGACAAAACAGATTTGCACTAGCAGAGTGAATACTCGCACTCTAGCAGTCGGGTGAGAATTTCCTCACAACTTGGTCTTTTGTTAGGCTCTGCCCAACAGTCTGAAATGGAAAACTACGAGTCAGAGACGTCAAAAAACTAAATAGGAGAACGTTATAGAAAGGAATACAAGAACAAAGAAATACATGGAGCCTCTGCATTTAATTATACATTTTGCCATAAATACCTGCAATTAGTTGGCCCAGGGGTCCTTCCGGTATCTCTGGCCTTGATCCTTCATTAGCAACAGCATAGACTACCTAAAAATTAGCACAATGAAGTTGCTATTAGTTGATGTAGCCATGCGAAAATAACAGATATTAACTTCCAAGACATAAAAAAACTCAAACAAACAATGACCAAATAACAAGGTGAAATTTGGCATACCCTCTCTGGTGGTACACCCTCCCATGGTCTCTTTAGGGTGCAAAGCTCCCACATTATCACGCCTAGGCTAAAAATGTCACATTTTTCTGTATAAGACTCGTTACGGATGAGTTCTGGAGCCATCCATTCTGGAGTGCCAGCTGATGTAGAATCTCTCATAGGTGCATCTGTCGTTATTCTTGAGAGCCCAAAATCACATATTTTGACAGTCCAGTGCTTGTTCACAAGGCAGTTTGCACTTTTTAGATCACGATGGACTATCTTCATCCGATGTATGCACATCAACCCTCTTAGTTGCCAACAGAACCAAGAAACTAATCATAAATCCCGTCCTTGAGAAATATAAAAGTAGAAGCATAGTTGAGGTATTTTACTTAGAAGCTTTTGAAGCTTTATGTAATAACAAAGCAATAGACGGTTGTAATTAACATGTGGAAAGGTTGTGTAATCAGCATTAATAGATAAATAAGTCGTCTCAACAAAACATGGAACTTCATCAGCAAAACATTATTGAATTGCATAAACAAAGACGAAGCAAAATTCAACTATGCTTTCCCACGCAATTTTACCAGTTTTATCAAGGATGCCTCCCGAAAATATATCAAAGGCCAATCAATTCTTTCAAGTTACATTTAAGACCCTTCACATATCATTGAAGTATTATATGAAAATATCACAGAAGAACACCAATCAAACAAAAAAAAAATGTCATTGAAAAGCATTAAGGATCACCAAGTTATCAAGCAACACCAAAGATGATCAACAAACCAACCTGCATATGTCAGGAAGCATCTTGAGTCTCCTCCGCCAGCTAAGTCTCTTCTTTTGACCACTTAAATGGATCAAATGATATAGAGATCCCATCTCCATGTATTCAGTAACCATGGACAAACGAGGAGGCTTTGTGCATGCACCAAGAAACAATATAACTGCAACCATTGGCTGAAGTTAGATGTACAATAGTCCAAAACAAGGAGCAATATTTTAAAGCCAAGTCAGAAAGAAACGCCAACACTTGAAAGGAAAAGAGGAGAAATACCATTTGGATGTCGAAGACGGCTGGGAAAGCAAGAAGAAAGAAAAACTTAGGTTAGAACATCTCAAAGCCAAAAGAAGTTGAGCCCAATCCTAGATAGACACAATACCTAAGGATAGAGATCTCATTGCAGAAGTCCTCCATGTTTTCCGCTGTAAGATCTTGCTCCAGGAAAACTTTAATAGCAACATCAGTTCCATTCCAAATACCACGAAAAACTTCCCCAAAGAATCCTGCAAATATGTCCAAAGCATTTAGACCTCAAACTCTCAAATACAAATGGCGGTTGGTGGAAGAAAATGCAGATTAATAGAACATAGGAAAGCATATATTTGGTCATTGATTACTTTGAAGATACATTTTAAATCATTTTTGTAGGTAATGTACTTAACTTTATTACATTTCCCGCGTTTGGCTTCCATGTGTATCAGCATCTTATATATCTTTTCGGCTCTAATGTTGTAAAACAATTCACTCTCTATTTGGTGTAGGCGTAACACCATTCCCTGGTGTGACATTATCTCTGATGTGCATTCCATTTTGATCTCTTTTTTTTCTTATACATCATGTACCTTTTTGTAGTACACTAAAATGCTGTTGACTGTACAAAGGTGGTTTAATCAAGTATGCATTAGACCTTTAACCAAAAAATGCATTGGACCTCCTAAAAATTCCAACCATCTATCTATAGAGCAAGGAATTTCCTCCTCTACCACAAAGACAAGTAAAAAGATATATTATTTATCGCTAAATATTGGTTTTCAACTCTTTCAGAGGATAGTCTTGAATCGTCCCCAATAGGTGATTGTAATATAAATTACCAGAAAACAGTTAGAAGATCATTCATAAATAATTTATCAACTTCCTCAACATTTATTTAGCTAAATTTTTATGGAGAATAGATAAAGGAATTCACTTTTCAATTTGGTTGACCACGCTATATATCAAGCCAAAAATCGTATTATGTTCCCGTTCCCTAAAGCCAATAGTTTGAAAAATTCTACTTCTCCTTCATATTGCATTTCCACAAACTTATCACATGTGATGATGCGACCTCATAGATAACAACCCTATAGACCACATCCCTATTTTACATTGTATCTTTCCTACCAGAGCATTCTCTATGCATAAGAATCTCCATAAAACTTTCCTTGGAGAGCTTGATGACATGTAGTAAATCTTCGAATACCCGATCTCCCCGCCGTTACTGAAGCTGTTATTTTCTCTCAACAAAATGAGATATTACCGTTCACCAGTCATAGAATTCCCTCACTAATTTTTCCAGCTTTTTTGCGATAACTAATGGGATTAGGAACACGGACAAAAATGTCGAAAAGCTGAAGGGCGATATATCTTGATCAAAGTGATTCTCCCATCCTTTGATAAATATTGTCTCTTCCATCCTTCCAAGATCTGCTAAGATTGTTGCAAAACTAGGCACAAAAGTGCACTCTCCTTGACCTTACCACTGATAGGAAGATCAACACTTTATACACCTCCCTACTGAGGCTTCTTCTTGGATGTTTTTCACTTCCTATACTGGTATTAATCCAAACTTTCTTATGTTGATGCAAAGCCCTGACAATAACTCACTACACCAGAGTTCTAAACAATGATCGTATTTGTCTCATATTCACAAAGAGTGAAGGCATTGTCTGCAAACAAAAGGTTTGATCTCTCTTTCATAAATGACTTGTTCAAACAGTTTGTTAAGAGCTTCCACGACAAGCAGAAAGAGCACTGGCAAAGGTGGGTTCACTGAGGCTGCGAAAAACTCGAGCAGAGACCCATTAATTATAAGTAATCTCACAGTGGAAATGCATTGTATATAAACACCTCCATTTGTCTCAAAAATCCATTCTATGGAGAAGGTACAGCAGAAAGTTCCAATAGCCTGCTCATCTGCTGCATTTCACATTGATATATGACCCGTATTGAAGTTAAATAGCTTTTTATTCACAGCTCACTATCCCTGACCCCAAAAAAGAATGTCTAGTTGTTCTTGAATCTGCCATTGCTTTGAAAGATCAAATCCTTGTTAAAGTAATAAAGCTTTCCTTTGAGATACATAGAATCTAAGCGCTCTGATGGTCAGAAAAGTAAGATTGGCGCTCAAGATAAGCAACAGATAAAGCTCCAGGTCTGTTGTCAAATACATCAGAACCAACTGAAAAAAGGTTCCCTAAGCATCTCCCTCCTTGTGTTTTATGTTCTCTCTCATTTTACAATGCATGTTGGGAAGAAAGAATGGAAGGGAATATTCAGGTTCTACCAAACTCTTTCCATATGTAGGAAAATCAGAATTATAGAACAAACAGAGACAAAACCCCACTGGAGAATCTCAATCAATCAAATCAAACAGTAAACGATTGAGAACTGTCATTTTGACCATAATTCTCAATACTGCAAAATGATTTTTTTTTTATCAGGTTCACTAAACCACGTCTTCTTATTTTTATAAATGTTGGAAGATTAATATTATATTATTTCCATACTAGCAGTTAAAAATAGAATGGATAAGTGGTAAGATCCCTCTCTCTCATCCAAACACATGAATCCTCAGGCATAGGGACCTTGGCCCTTGCTATCTATTTCCCCTGTGTTGAATTCTTCAGTGCATATGCAGCAAATTGACAAACCCAAGCTGTTTTCTAAACTCAAAGCATAAAGTGATCAAATTATCGTGAACATGAGCAAACGCTTCTCACACATCAAAGTTCACAGAGCATGATCCATCAGAAATAGTATAATAGTTAGCAGTCATTAACACAAGGAGCAACGAGAGCAGTCTCAACACAGCTCATTGTGGACTCATTAGTGGTACAATGCAACCAAATGATTTAGCAAACAAAACAATGAAGCATAATTTACTACAGTACTACTTGGAAAAAAGATTTAAAATAAACTCACCAATCCCGACACGAGTGCCAACGGTCAACTCTGAGAAGTCTATATTCCATTCTTCAAAAGGTAGAAGAGGCTTATTCAGGAACATTGGTGATTCCAGAATCCTATTCCAGGTTGAGACCGTTTCATCATTCACATGCCCCCTTCTTTCTGGAGCCTGCCTTCTGAATTCATTGGGAGACGAGGGTAACGATATTGCCTTCTGGGAGTTCATGTGCTCCCTTGACAATGCAAATAAGGAAGACTGTGCACCCAATATTTCATGGTCATCACGGTGAAAATCAGACACCTAAAATTGCAGATCTTTAAGCCAACATAATGAAACCGAAAAGAGACAATGCATCAAACCACAGTTGCATGGCATTCAGTTAGGGTTAAGACAGAATATTCTAATAATCAGAGTCTCCAAATTTTTCACAATGAACTATGATTATAACATCCATTTACGAAGAGGAAATATTACTCCAAAAGATACTCATATGCAACTTCTATCGGGCAAAAAATATAAGAGCGTGCAAGATTCCTAGACAAAAGCCCAATCATGGAATAGAGGGAAAAATGCTACAACAAAAACTGCCCCTGATCTGAAACAGTAACAAACCTAACTGGTTCCAGAGTGAAACACATCAAACTATTAGG